TAAAAGCTGAGCCAAAAATTCAGAGGAAAAGCCAATCCCATTATTCAAGAGTTTTCAATAAGGTAAGGTTTAGGGTTAGGTTTAGGGTTGGGTTTAGGGTTATTTTTAGGGTTATGTTACAGCGCGCTTCTGTAGACGCGCTGTTGTCGGCACGCTGTTGTCGCGCAGTTTTGACGGTGCAGTTTTGTCACCGTGCTTTAGTCACACACGCTTTAGTCTACCGCGGTTTTGTGGTGGAACCCTCCTCATTTAGCAAACTAAATTTCAGTCCAACAACTTGATTGTTAAGCAAAATGGTAGCTCTGTGTGTACGCGTGTGTGCAAGAGAAAGAGAGAGAACACATCATTGTGAAGATCACTGGTAGCTGTCCTTGCATTCAGAGAAAGTTATCTTGCACTGTGTACTGTGCTGACCCGTTTCTTCACCTTCTAGAGAGAGATTGCTTAAACAAGATCTCTCTTCCTGGGCTGCTTTTCTCTGCAACAAGTGCTTCCCTACAAAGTGCTAAGTTCAGGTTCACAAGCTCAGGTCTGTGATCTTAATTAGTTGCTTAGAAGTTTTAAGTCAGATCTTAAACAGTTTCAGGTGAACAAAATTTGGTGATAAATATACACATTGGTCAGAAAATGATTTTTTTTACAACAGTGGTATTTGTGAATGGTTGCTAAAGAAGGTAGTAGCTAAATAGCTATATAGAATTCAAATTAGAAAAATGATGAAACATTTCATAATACCAATTTATTTCATTACTTCTTCTACATTGTTTCCCTCCCTAGTCCTAATGGTTCACTGGTTACTGCTGTCATCTGAGAGCAGAAGAGCTCTATCCTCACCTGCCATGAGGATGACTGATCTGAATTTGTCAGGAGGCGACCCAGTTTGTCATATAAGCTACTCAGCAGTTCCGCTCCCAACATTTCATATACATACATCAAAGTATCTGAGATGTCCACTCTGAAAGACAAAGAATCACAAAAATCTGCTTACCGGACCACAAATACATAGAAATAAGCTAAAATAAACACTAACAATCCAACATTCAGCCTTCATTACCTTCATTACCAGCCTTCACCAATACTGTATGATTAACTACTCTTTTGCAGTTCACCAGCTGTTGTGGCCTGCCAGCAGCCAGTGCAGCTGGTGGCAGATTCGGACAGTGAGGACGTTGGGGAGGAACATGGGCCAGTCCTGGAGTCTGGGGAAGGCTCTGATAAAGGCTCTGTGTCAGAGGCAGGGAGGGAGCAGAGCCATATGCCAGTTATCAGCTGCCTTCAGAGTTGGACATCAGTGAGGCAGACGAACAGCTGGAGCCTGTTCCCAGCATGCACATGCACAGAGTTGCCAGACAATTTCATTGTATTTAAGTACAATGACAATAAAGATTATACTTATACAAAGGGAACAGCTAAAGAACAGGAGTTGACTTGGGAGTAAGGCCACAGGTGAACAATGATGCCCCTTCCCAGAGGAAATAAAAAAGGAGCAAAAGGGGAGTGGAGTTTGCAGGAGACAATTAGTTCACTTAATTGGTTTATGACTCTCCAAGACTCCTTGCCAAGTTTTGCAGATATTGGCTTGGCAGCTCTCCAAGCCAGATAAGGTCTGTGACTGTATCCTCCCTCTTCCCTTTGCAGGATGTGAATTGGCAGAATTCACAGTAAATTAATAAAATAGGTTTTTGGCCGGATAAGGAATTTGCTTCATGCTCTTGGGAAGCCTAGGGGA